TGTCCTGGAACTCGCTATGTAGACCAGGCTGGCCTTGAACTCACAGGGATCCGCCTGCCTCTGCCTCCTGAGTGGGGATAAAAGTGTGCGCCACCACGCCCGGCTTATTATTATTTTTTTATGTGTATGAGTATATTGCCTGCATGTAGGTAAGTGTACCTGTGTTGTGCAATGCCCTCAGAGGACAGAAGAGGCCATTGGATCCCCTAGAACTGGAGTTATGGATAGTTGTTAGCTGCCATGTGGGTGCTGGGAATCGAACTCAGGTCTTTTGCAAGAACAACCAGTGTTCTTAACTACTGAGCCATCTCTCCAGCTGTTTTTGTTTTTTAAACATGGGTGCTCGAACCCAGGTCCTCATGCTTGCAGAGTAAGCATTCTTAAGCACCAGGGCATTTCTCCACTCCCAAAATGCTCACTTTTCTAATATTTATTTACTCCTCAGAACCCTGGGCTGCAATGGAAATGAAAAATCAAAAGTTCTTCAACTTTAGGGGGCTGGAGAGATGGGAGCGCTTAAGAGCACTAACTGCTCTTAACATGGTGACTACGAACCATCCTTAACTCCAGTTCCAGGGGAATCCGAAGCCCTCTTCTGACCTCTGCAGTATTGCACGACATGGGTGCACGTGCACATGCAGGCAATACACTCATACACATAAAATAAAAATAATAAAATATTTTTTTAAAAATGTTCTTCAGGCCAGGCATGGTGGCGCATGCCTTTAATCCCAGCACTTGGGAGGCAGAGGCAGGCAGATCCCTGTGAGTTCAAGGCCAGCCTGGTCTACACAGTGAGTTCCAGGACAGCTAGGGCTACAGGGAGACCTGTCTCAAAAAGACCAAAAAAAAAAAAAAAAAATGTTCTTCAACTTTAAGAATTTGAAGGGGCTGGAAAGATGGCTCAGCAGTTAAGAGCATTGGCTGCTCTTGCGGAGGACTGGGGTTCGATTCCCATCACCTACACAGTGGCTAACATCCATCTGTAACTCCAGTTCCAGGGGATCAAATGCCCTCTTCTCACCTCTACAGGCACTGCATTCATGTAGACAATATACTCATACATATAAAATAAAAATAATAATAAGGTCAAGTTGTTTTCTTTCCATGCTTTTAGTGAGCCCAGGGCTTAAGCATGTTAATAATAAGTACATGCTTTTCCTCTGAGCTACATTGTAGCCCTTTGTTTTCATTAACAGTCAATGGAAGGAAATACAGCTGTTATGTGTTTTTGCATGAACACCGATTGTACAACTTTACACCACACTGATTAACCTGGAAAAGGATCACTGGAATCAGGGAAGGACCTCTGTGTATACAAGATGGTGGACAGGAGGTAACAATTTTAACATTTTCCTTTGTCACCTGCAATTTTCCAATGAGGATATTTTACTAGTAAATTAACTCAAGTGGTAGAGCACTTGCTCAGCATGCACAAGGGGCTTGGTTTAGTCTCCAACACTGCAAGATAAATGTATGTCTGGGCTGGAGAGATGGCTCAGTAGTCAAGAGCACTGGCAAGTTCTTGCAAAAGACCCAAGTTCGAATCCCAGCACCCTAATGGTAGCTAACAACCATCCACAACTCCAGTGCCAGGGGATCTGACACCCTCTTCTGTCCTCCATGGGCACTGCACATCGCTGTACTTATATGCAGACAATACACACATACACATAAAATTAAAAATAAACAAATTTCTTCAACAGTCATATGGCAGCACTACAGTATAACCCTAACTACATTTCCAAGAAAATGCAGGAAGGCTTACAGGCCATTGTTCTTCAGTTGGTGTACCCAAAGTTTCAAATATTCTTGTCAGCTGATCAAGGTCTGAATCTCCTGGCAAAAAAGGAACCTGAAAGAAAGCAAGAGGCATTTCCTATCATTGTTTGTGATAGTGGCTCTATAAATAACACTTATCAACTTAATAAAAAAAATTAAACTCTGGGGGCTAAAGAGATGGCAGCTCAGTGCTTAAGAGCACTGGCTACTCTTGCAGAGGACCCAGGTTTGATTTCCAGCACCCACATGATGGCTAACAACTGCAGATAACTCTAGTTCCAGGGGATTCCAATACCCTCTTCTGACCTCCAAGGGCATTACACAACATGGGTGCACTTAGATACATGCAAGCAATACACTTGTACACATAAAATAAAAATATTTTAAAAAATTAAAAAAAAAACACTGAACTCCGTAACAAATACTAAAAATTTACTGAAGTACAATGGACATGGTTTCAGATCTTATAGCTACCAAAGCACACAGAACTTTCACTACCTATTTTATTCACTTCAGTTTTTTTTCATTCTGTGCTGGTGATAAGGCCTAGCACCTTGTGCATCCTAGGAAAGTACTCTACCACACACCCCAGACTTTTCATTCCATGAATCTTCAATAAAAATCTTACTATGTAACAGGACTGTGCTAACCTTAGGCATTAAAACAAAGGAATCAAGGTGGGAATAATGGGGTATGCCTATAACCCCAGCACTCAGGAAACAAATCTACCTTTTGCCTTCTCTTTAAAAAACAGATCTGATCGCTTCATCCATAGGAACTGAAGCTGTGTCATATTACAGGAAGGAATGGTTTTGCTTCCTGATTCCAGTCTGTTTGCTCAGCTGACACTGGCAGCACCATCAGGTTCTCTAGCCTGAGGCTGCTGCAGTACGTCAGAAGACAGTTCTCCAGGGCTCAGCTCCAGCAATGCAGGAGGCAGACAGCCATGTCCCTCATTTCCTCCCTACCTCCACAGGCAGTTTTGAGCAGGGTACCTCCAGAAAGACACTTCTTGAACAGCTTTCTCAGCACCCTACAGCAAATTTCTAGCATATTCCAAAAACCATGATTTTGAAGATCTACCATATAATCCACAGCAACTTCTCTGCCATCCACTCCTTGGCTGCCCTCTTTAATATCTAGATTTCAGTCCTGTAAGTCTTTGGGGATGATCTTGGAGGAGGGTAATAGTGAGGGTTCTTAGTATCTGCTACTCTTAGTCATGAGATCATTAATTAGCCAATCCTTTTCTATTCTGTTCCCTTGTTACAGTCAATAATTCTTTTTCTTCCCTTGGGAGCGGGGAAGCAGAGGGGTATTGAGACAGTCTCACCCTGTAATCCAAGCTACCTTCAAACTCGGGAGTGATTACCCCTGCCTCTGCTTCCCAAGTGCTGGGGTTTCACGTTTAAACCAGCTCACCTTATATTATTCTTTACATAAAATGTTCCTGAAGAAGCTGGGCGTGAATGCTGCAGTAAAGAGTCCTACAGACTAAGATTTACATATACAGTATATAAACATGGAGAGATGATGCCGGGCATGGTGGTGCATGCCTTTAGTCCCAGCACTTGGGAGGCAGAGGCAGGCAGATCTCTGCGAATTCAAGGCCAGCTTGTTCCACATAGTGAGTTCCAGGCCAGTGGGGGCTACAGGGAGACCCTGTCTCAAAAAAGACCAGGAGGAAAAAAAAAAAGCTCCTGAATAGATTAATGTGTGGTTTCCACTTCCTAACTGGAGTTAATACAATCTCTAGTAAGAGAATTCTGAATTAAGCTGCAGGCCAGAGAATTAAGGAAGAGAAGAAACAAGAGGCAATTTCAACCCACAGACTCAAGCAAAATCAATAAAGAAAATCCTGCTCCACATTCCATTTTTGTGTGCTAAAATTATGCTAAGAATAAAACTACATTGCATTTGCTTTTGGAAGTAACCAGCCAAGCAGCAAAGCCTTTTCTTTGGAACTAACTAAGCTCCTATGCCAGAACTTTGCTTGCTTCATGTGGCCCTGACCCTCTTATCTACAGCCGATGTTGGTTATGTTCCTTCTGTCTAAAATATTGTAAAATGGGAAGGAACTGGAGAGTTGGCTCTTGCAGAGGACCCAGGTTCAGTTCCCAGAACCCAGAGAGCAGCTAAGAGCCATTCCTAACTCCAGTTCCAGGGGCTCCCATACCCTCCTCTGTTCTTCGGAGGCACTGAGGCACTGTATGCAGGTGGTACACTTACATGTATGAGGGCAAAATACTCATACATAAAATTAAAACTAAAACACTCTTAAAGCCAGGGACTGGAGAGAGGCTCAGTGGTTAAGAACACTGGCTGTTCTTGCAGAAGACCTGGGTTTGAATCCCAGCACCTACATGGCAGCTAACAACTATCCATAACTCCAGTTCTAGGGGTGTACCAACAGCCTCTTCTGTCCTCCTTGGGCATTGTACGACACAGGTGCACTAACCTGCATGCAGGCAATACATGCATACACACAAAATAAAAATAATAAAATATTAAAAAAAAATTCTTAAAGCCAAGCGTGGTGGCACACGCCTTTAATCCCAGTACTTAGGAGGCAGAGGCAGGTGGATCTCTGTAAGACTGGGGCCAACCTGGTCTACAATGGGAGTTCCAGGCCAACAGGGGCTGGAAACCTTGTCTCACAAAGACCAAAACAAACAATTGTAAGAAAGCCTTTTACAGGGGGAAGGAGGATGATACAAATAACTATGGGAATAAAAAAAATTCTCCAGCTACACAATTTAAAAAAAAAAAGGCTTAAGCAACCCTACGGGAATGGAGGCCCCACCAGAAGCAGTACGATTGTTAAACGACAATCCCAGTGCCAGAGGTGGGTTGCCCCCTATGAGCTGTTGGCCTGAAGGACAATAGAGGTCCCCAAAACAATAAAGTCCACTGCCAATAATGTTCGTTGTACACTGGAAGTGGACAGAAAAACCCTACTGCTGAAGACACTGCATGATGTGAGCGCAGGAGAGGGAGAAATCAAGCTTGGACTAAGCTGGAAACTACGTGCCACTGGATGGGTGGCTTTCATGGTGCCAAAAGGTAACACGCAGATGACGGGGGGAGAATAGTCCCCTATAATTCTCCTCAACGATGGACCCTGTGTGTTGCACTACCAACATACCAAACAAGATGTTCCTGCTGGTGCAATAGTGGAGTGTCTAGTGTATGTACTACCAGCAAATTTTTGATTGGATATAATGCCTGCTCCTAGGGATGGAACACACATCTGGTACTGTAGACCCAGTCAACCCCCTGTGGCAGGAGAGAATATGGGCCCCAGTGGGAAATCACTGCTTTGTTAGATGGAAATGATGCACCTGTTAAAGTACTGAACAAACATTTGTGTTTACATCCATAGGTTAAGTTACTATAGCAGTCACTGTTCAGATGTTCTTACTTCTTGCTGTGTTTTTATAGTAGATGGAATCCCACTGAAATGGGCCAGCAGCCCATTGAAAACAGATGACGCAGAGACTCGAAAGTTCCGTGCCTTGCCGCAACAGGAGGAAGATCATCCCACACCTACCACCCCCAAGGTGATAAGGACTCCTATCCAAGGAGCTCCAAGGCTCAGGGACTTTTGTGGAAGAGGTTGGTGGAAAGAATGTAAGAGCCAGAGGAAGGGGTGGAGTGTTAACCAGAAATGTCCTCTGACCACTATGCAGGAAGCTACAGTCACACCTCCTTCCCATACTCATTAAGGAATCAAGGGGGGGAGTCAGTTATCCCTCCCACCCAATCAGTTGACCTTAGCTGCATGTGGGGGGAGGGGCAAAGAATATATAAGCTCAGAACACCAAGCAGCACCTCTCTCACCATTTTGTGTGGGAGCTCTGTATGAGTGTGGACTTTATGGCACAGCCATAAATGTGGGGTGCCCACTGTTCTATAAATAAACCCCTACCCTATGCTCTGCTAAGAAACTATCAATAAATAAAATATTTTAAAAAAAAGAAAGCCTATTACCTTTACATAGGTGCTAGAGATCATATTCAGGTTGTTATGCTTGTGTGGCAACCTTTATTTATTTTTGGTCTTTTTGAGACAGAGTCTCCCTCTAGCCCCAGCTGGCCTGGAACTCACAGAGATCCATGTATGGCTAGCATTTTATCAGTTGAGCCATCTTACCAGCCCCTGTGATGATTAACCTAGACTGTCAACTGGATTGGATTTAGAACCACCATGGAACCTCTGACCATGTCTGTAAGGGAGTTTCTAGACTGTGTTCATTGAAGAAGGGAGTCCCACTCTAAATGTGAGTGGTGCCATTACAAAGGCTGGGATTCTGGCTAAACAGAAGACAAAGCGAGGAACACCGGTATTCCTCACTCTGCTTCCTGAGTACAGATGCCATGTGCACAGTCACCTCAGGCTCCTGCTGCCATGACTTCCCTGCCATAATTCACTACACTCTCAAGCTCTAACTCAAAATAAACTCTTCCTTCCATATTTGTTTTTGTCAGGTATTTTGTCATGACAATAAGAAAAGTAACTAATACAGTGGACCTCAAACTCCCAGTCTTTCTGTTTCTTCCTCCCAAGTAGCTAGAATTAGAGGTGTTCTCCACTGCAACTGAGGCTTTTTTGTTTTATGCAACAGGGTTTCACTATGTAGCCCAGGACAGCCTTGAATTTACAATGATCCTCCTGCCTCAGCCTCCTACATGCTACAATTGCTTGTCAGTTTTTTGTTGCAGGGATAGTTATAAAAAGGTAATTCCTACAAAATTATGAGTCCAAATACTATACCAACAATATTGAAGTGTGTAGATGATTTCAAGACTTACCCTTAGAAGCAATTCTGCTAATATACAGCCCACAGCCCACATGTCCACACCTACACCATACATCCTTGCTCCAAACAATAACTCAGGGGCCCGGTACCATCTGAAGAGCAAGAAGAAATAATGTCATATGAGAATGAAATTATTAAGGTTATTATTTTTGGATAAACTATCCTTGTTTTTAAATGCAATCCCCTACCATGAGTACTATAACATACTGTTTAGTCAAGAATAATGCTCCTAAAATTCTCTCCATTTCTACAATTAACTGTGTTCTCTACTTGAATTTTTCCATTAATATACAAATAAACCATCACTTTTTTGGGGGGGAGGGGGAGTCTCCCTGTAGCCCCAGCTGTTCTAGAACTCACTATGTAGACCAGGCTGGCCTTGAACTCACAGAGAACTGCCTGGGTTTTTTTTTTTGGGGTCTTTTTTTGAGACAGGGTCTCCCTGTAGCCTCAACTGGTTTTGAAGTCACTATGTGGACCAGGTTGGTCTTGAACTCACAGAGATCTCCCTGTTTCTGCCTCCCAAGTGCTGGGATTAAAGGTGTGCACCACCACACCTAGCCTTATCATCACTTCTTTAGACACTACTGAGTCTAATTCTACTTCTCTCATTTCTTCCCAAAATCATTTTTTGTTTGCTTGCTTTTGGATCTCTGAAACAGGGTCTCATGTAGCCCAGGCTAGTCTCAAGACTACAATGTAGCTGAGGCCTACCTTGAATTCTTGATCCTGTGTCTCCTTTCTAAGAGGTTACTGTGTGTCATCAAGTCTGAACTCTAAACTCTTTTAAATCAGGTTTTAATCCTTACTACTTGGTCAAAATTGTTATTGTTAACCACTCTACCTAATCTAACATCAATTCTCAGTCTCCATCTTAATTTCTAGAAAATTTATAAAACTGTTAGAGGAATGACACACACACACACACACACACACACACACACACACACACACAAAGAGGGTACTTGTATGTAGGTCCTTGTATTTACATGTTCCTGAATAACATGCTTAACCCTCCCAGTACTTGTATCAATTACTCATATCCCCTTACTTCTTACTCAGGTCTCAGGAAACTGATGCTCATAAAAACTTAATTGAGGGGCTAGAGAGATAGCTCAGTAGTTAAGAACACTGGCTGTTCTTGCAGAAGACCTGGGTTCGAATCCCAGCACCCACATGGCAGCTAACAACTGTCTGTAACTCCAGTTCTAGGGGATCAGACTGCCTCTTCTATCCTCCACGGGCACTGCATGACACAGGTGCACTTACCTACAATGCAAGAATAACACTCATACACATAAAATAATAAATAAAATATAAAAAAAATTTGAAAGGTGACAAAATAATTTGTGATAGAATCAGATAATCTTATACCCTTAAAAGAGTCAAAAATTAACAAATGCAGTCCAGATGTGATGGCACGTGTCTATCATTCCATATCTCCAAGCACATGGTAGGTAGATGCAGGTAGGTCAAGAATTCAAAGTCATCCTTGGTTACATAGCAAGTTTGGGGCCAGGCAAGGTTATATGAGACCTTGGAAAGAGAGGAAGAAAAGGAAGGAAGACAGGAAGAAAGATGGAAAGAACAGGGGAAAAAGTCAACCTGACAAGAATTATAAAACCTGTGGCCCTTATTAAATGTCATTTTCTGTTTGAACATCAAAAGTATGAACAAAAAAAACCCATAATTTTCAATAATATAAAATTCAAATAGTGATACTTTGTGTGGGGATTTACATTTACACAGAAGACTATAGAATCAATACTGACAAATATAAACACAGGACCAATATAACAGGTATAAATAGAAAAAAAAGGCCATTGAAGCTTATCCAGTTTTAGCTAAAAATTGAGCTTATCCTACTAAAATGTAAAATGAGGAAATATTCTCAGGTCACTGGAAGGTAGTACTGGGATGCAGCCTGGAGATAGAGCTCTTGGCTAGAGTGGGGAGATGGTTCAATTGACAATGCCATGCAAACATGAAGATCTGAGATTAATCCCCAGTACCTATATAAAAAGGTCAACCATAGTGGTGCATGCAAGTACTCCTAGGGCTGAGGAGGCAGAGACAGAGAGACTCATGGGGCTCTCTAGTCAGCAAGCATAGCCTAAGGGGCCAGTCCCAGATCCCAGGGAATGACAAGTCACAGAAATTAAGGTACAGGGCTGGGGAAATAGCTTACGGGGTAAAGAATTTACTATGCCAAGTGTGAGGATGGGGTCCCCAGAGAGGCTGAGCAACAAGTTCTAGGTCTAAGTGAGAGACTCTACTTCAATATGTAAGGTAAAGACTGAAGAAGACACCAGATATTAACCTCTGACCTTCAAAAGTAGTCACACACAAACATGTGTACACACCATACATACACATACAAGGGAAAATAAAAAGGTAGATGGTTCCAGAATGGCACCTGAGGTTGTTGTCTGGCCTCCATACACAAGTGCATACACAAATACATGTGTGGGAGGTAGAACATTTGCTAGCAAGCCCAAGGTCCTAAGGTTAGATCTGAGTTAGTTCTCTAGTCACACAAAACCAAACCAACCAAACAAACAAAAATGTGGGGGCTGGAGAGATGGCTCAGCGGCTAAGAGTACTGCTGTTCTTGCAAAGGACATGGATCCACTTACACACATGCAAGCAATATACTCATACGCAAAATAAAAATAATAAATAAAATATGCCTGTGGAGGTCAGAAGGGGGTGTTGGATCCCCTGGAACTGGAGTTACAGACAGGTGTTGGCTGCCATGTGGGCACTGGGGCCCAAATTCTGGTCCTCAGTAAGAGCAGTCAGTGTTCTTAACTGCTGGGCCATCTCTCCAACCCTTAAATAAAATATTTAAAACAATCAAAAATGATCAAAAAAGTGGGCTGGATGGCAAGATAGCTCAGTGGTAAAAGTGCTTGCTACATAAGCCTGATAACCTAAGTTTGATCCACAGAATTCTTGCTGGAGAGAGAGAACCAACTCCTAAAGGTTGTCCTCTGACTGCTATCCATGAACTGTAGCACATGCATGCCCTGCCCCCACTAAAATAATTTTTAAGAAATATTTTATTATTTTTATTTTCTGTGTATGAGCATTTTGTCAGCATATAAGTACACCCGTGTCATGCAATGCCCGAGGAGATCAGAAGAGGGTGTTGGATCCCCTGGAACTGAAATTATAGACAGTTGTTATTACGTGAGTGCTTGAGAACTGAACCCAGGTCCTCTGCATGAGCAGCCAGTGTTCTTAACTGCTGAGCCATTGCTCCAGCCCCTAACAATAAATAATTTAAAAAAGTTTTTTAAGACCAGGTGCAGTGGCACATACCTTTAATCCCAGCACTCAGGAGGCAAAGACAGGCAGATCTCTATGAGTTCAAGGTCAGCCTCATCTATATAGTAAGTTCCAAGTTAGCCAGGGTTACAGTGAAATCCTGTCTTAAAATTTTTTTTTTTCATTTTAAATAAATAAAGTGTTACTGGAAGACTCAGGATATAACTCAATTAATCCTCAGCACAGCAAAAGTAAATAGATAAAATGATGTCTGAAGATTAAATTTATTAGAATCCATTTGAAAGAGCTGAATGTTTTTTATGTGTTAAAATATACATTAAGCTGGGTTTTTTTTGGCTTTTTGAGACAGCATCTCCCTCAAACTCAGAGAGAGAGACCTGCATGCCTCTGCCTCCCTGAGGGCCAGGATTAAAGGTGTGCACCTATATTTTTGAGATGACATCAACAGTGATTCCTGTGACTTCAGAGTTGATGCTCATTTGTGATGAATAACTGAAACAAACAAGCTTTAAATTAGAGATATTCTTACCTGGTTACAACCTGGTGTGTATAAGCTCTATTGGGGCTCCCAAATGACTTGGCCAGACCAAAATCTGCCAGTTTTAGAACTCCATTTTCATCTAACAACAAGTTGTTTGGTTTAAGATCCTGTATCAAGCAGGTGTCAAGACAAAATTAAGCAAAGTTAGATGAAAACACCGTAGTGATACATTTAGCTAGCTTAATTTTCTTTAGAGACAGGGTCTTGTGTAGCCCTAAATATTCTTTTTAAAAAAATTTAATTGAATTTATAGTACTTAGATCCCCTCCCCCTTTCACACTTCCCCTTACTATTCCCCTTCAATTTAATGTACTCTTAATACATACATACATACACACACACAAACACACACACAAAATAAGGCCTATAGTCTAATTTGTATCCACAAATGTCTTTTAGTGTGGGTCTATCCACTGGAGCCTGGTTAAAATACTAAGAGTCCCATTCTTGAAAGAAACTGTGTCTCCTCCTCCCAACAGTCATCAGTTACCAAAATTTCCTAGGTTGGGTTGGGGTTTCTTACTCACTTCCCCATGTCTATGCTGGGATTTTGTCTGGTTTGAGCTTACATAGGACTTGTGCATGCTGACACCTTTGCTGTGAGTTCATGTAAGTAACTGAGCAGCTATTTGGAACACTCTATTTCCTTGTGGTATGCATCATCTCCGGCTCTTACACTCTTTCTACCCCCTTTTCTACAACAATCCCTGAGCCTTGGGAGGCAGACGTTTGATAGAGATGCCAGACTATTCTTAAATTCACTATTTAGTCAAAGAGGATGACCCTGAACTTCTGATGTTCCTGCCTCCATCTTCAGAGAGCTACAATTACAGGTAAGCTGCATGCTCAGTTCATGCCATTTATGTGGTGCTGAGGCTCAAACAGAACTTCATGTATGTTGGCCAAGCACTCTACCAATTTAGCTTAACTTTAAAACTTAGAAAACAAGGTAACAAGCTGGGCATGATGGTGCACACTGGTAATCCTAGCACTTAGGAAGTTGAGACAGAGGGTCAGAAATTCAAAGCCAACCAGGGGAAGACCCTGTCTCAAAATGAAATCAACCAACCAACCTGGAGAGATGGCTTAGTGGGTTTGCACACAGACCTCATGACCAAAGATCCCACAAGGTAGAAGGAGTCTGACCTCCACATGTATACACTGGTGCGCACATGTGCACGCAGATACACACGCGCGCACACACACACACAAAAAAAAAATTAAATGAAGAAAAGCCAGGTATGGTGGCACACGCCTTTAATCCCAGGACTCAGGAGGGAGAGGCAGGCGGATCTCTGTGAGTTCAAGGCCAGCCTGGTCCACATAGTGAGTTCTAGGATAGCTGGGGCTACAGGGAGACCCTGTCTCAAAAAGACAAAAAAAAAAAAAAAAAAAATTTAAATGAAGAAATAATAAACCACGCTCCACCCTACCTCAACTAACGAATCTGAGTAACTTTAAAAAATCTGAGTAACTTAAAGAAGCAGTATCAAAAGCTAGGCAGTGGAACAACCTGAATTCCAGAATTCAGGGGTCTAAGGCAGGAGGATTGTGAATTTGAGGACGAGAGAGAGAGAGAGAGAGAGAGAGAGAGAGAGAGAGAGACTGACTTAAAACCTTACCCTGTGTAGCTGGGCTTGGTGGTGCACATCTTAATCCCAGAACTCAGGAGGCAGAGGCAGGTGGATCTCTGAGATTGATGCCAGCTTGGTCTACGTAGTAGTGAATTCTCAGCAACTGGGGCTGCAGGGAGACCCTGTCTCAAAAAGACCAAACAAACAAACAAACAAACAAACAACACCCCAAAAAACAAAACCGTACCCTGTGTAGAATCCAATGCTGGTGTAAATATTCTAACCCTTGAAGAGTCATCAACATGTAGGCTTTAATGTGGGATGGTGTTAACACAAGACTATTATCCTTTATTATAACCTACAAACAGGCAGACAATTTATATAGGTATGCATCATTATTCCAAAGAAATCCTTAATAAAAAACATACACAAATTTAAAATGAGTTTATCTATACACAAGAATTTCCATGTGAGATTAGCCAACTCTCTTTAGGAGACAGTGTTGGAATTTCCACAATTAAAAAAAAGCATCACTGGTTTGGGAAGAAAGCAATGCTTTGTATCCTACAACTCTGGCGCAGAAGTTCTGGGTATCTGTGGGTTTTGTTTGCCCCTTCTGACAAGTGCATTCAGCCTCTCTTTGGGAAACCACTTCACCCCAGCTCAGTTGACTGATCTCTACCTGAGGCCTCCGTACTATAGCCTTCTGTTAGGAGACAAGACTGCCTTAGGGATAGACACATGGTCTGTGACTAACCACACATGACCTAAGACATAAGACCATTCAACAAAAACCAAGTGCTATAGAATCAAAGGGAACAAAGCACTTTCTTACCTCAATGATTATTAGATTCTAAGGATATAAGACTTGGAACTAATGGGAAATTACAATGAAAATGTGTGTCCACAAATGAAGGCAACAGGGAAGAAAACAGGATTATGTCAAAACGGAATCTCAGTTCCAATGACATTTGTAAGCCGTGCCAAATCCAGTCTATTCTTATACTTATCAGTTCCTTTTTATTCCTGAATAGTACTCTACTGTGTAAGCTACTAGTCTGTTTAAATATCCATTAGATGAAAGACATTTCAGCTGTTTCTAGTTTAAGAGAACATCCATGTCAAGTGCTAACAATACTTTTGTTTCTCTTGGATGAACACCTATCAGTGGTGTTGCCAGATCATATTGTTACTAATGACTGCAATACTGCTGATACTATTATAGATAATGGTGATTTACTTGTACTAAATGCTATAAGGAGCTATCATATACAGAATTAATTGCCACCAATCTGTATACTTAGTATATTCCTTTTATTATTTGATACTGTGTTGTAAGAAATCCTTTCTTCTTTTTTTTGTGGTTGGTAAATGTGTCTCTGATTTTCTAACAACCTACTAAATGTTTTTGAAGTGACCATACTATGTGTACTATTCACCAGCAAGTACGGGAACTCTAGTTGTTCTAACTCCTTGGATTGTCAGCATTTTTGAGATTCAATTAATGAAAACCATGAGACTTTTATACTTTTAAAAGAAACTTGCTTTTCTAAGGGATGGCACTAATCTGTGATAATGTGGGAGCAAATTCAAAATTCTGTCAGGTCTAAAGCTCATAAAATGCCACTGAACTAAAAGGAACTTGGTAGATAGAAATGCAAATGAAACCTAAATCTCTCTGTTTAATACAGAGATAGAGAAAAGTGCAAACAAGTCAGAGATCCTTTTGTCTTCAGAGTCCATAAAGACCTTAATAATACTAAGTAGTTCTTGGATATCAGTATTTTCTTAGGTAAAAAATAAGTATTTGGTTTCTCTTTAAGAGGGGGGAAAAGGTCTCAAGGAATCCCAAGCTTACCTCTAGATCAGTTTCCATAAAATCAAAGACGAGGCTAATATTAGATTTATGTCCAAAAGCATCAAGGAGCTGCAAAGCAAAATTTTTTAAAAAAGTTAAAATGTGCTCCTCTAACAATGTTGGTATCAAAGTACCATACCAAGTGAGGTAATTTTTTTTTTGGTGTTTTTGAGAAAGGGTCTCTCTGTAGCCCCAGCTGTCCTGGAACTCACTATGTAGACCAGGCTGGCCTTGGAACTGACAAAGATCCGCCTGCCTCTGCCTCCCAAGTGCTGGGATTAAAGGCGTGCACCACCATGCCCGGCTAACCAAGTGAGGTAATTTTAAATTGTGTGTTTTAGTAGTTGTTTCATGGTGCTGGGCACTGAACCTAGGGCCTTGAGCATACTAGGCAAGTGCTTTAGCACTGAAATACATCCCAGGTCTTGGTTTTTGTTTTGTTTTTTTCTCAGTCTTTTTGAGAGAGGGTTTCCCTGTAGCCACAGATGGCCTTGAACTCACAGAGATCCTCCTGCCTCTGCCTCCCAAGTGCTGGGATTAAGGCGTGCACCACCAAGCCCAGCCACTCTTGATTTTTGGAGACAAGATCTCATTATGAAGCTCAGGCTGACCTAAACCTTCCTATGTAGCCCAGGCTGGCCTTGAACTCATGATCCTCCTGCCTCCACTTAAGTACTTATAATATAAATATGTATTACCATACCTTGCTAAATTTTAAACTGCTGGTAACTTCCTATAAGCCTGAAACAACTTTATTAAATTTGACATTTGCCCCTCTTTGTACAGCACTACAAGAATTAGTATTCTGAGGCACAAAAATATTAAACTTGCTGGGGATATAGCTCAGTGGTAGGGCACATATGCAGCATTCAGAAGGGCCTAGATTCAATTCCCAACACAGCAAAAAATAAACTTTACTTTTTAACAAAGTCACTAAATACTTAACCCTCTCTCTAAAATTTGAGAATTCTAGGAAATACACTGGTGAAGGCTTCTCCTCAGTCTCTAATTCAAAAGAACACACCCGGGGCTGGGGAGTTGGCTCAGTGGTAGAAGCATTTGCCATGCAAGTATGAGAACTGGAGTCCAGATCCTGAGAACCCATGTAAATGCCAGGAAGGCATGGTAGCCTGCCTCAGAAGGTGAAGACAGGGAATCCAGAGCAAGCTGGCTAGTAAGACTAGTGATATCTGCGAGCTGAGTTTTACTAAGACCCTGCCTCAATGAATAAGATGGAAGAGGGACTGAAGATGACCCCCAACATCAATTCGACTTCCACATGTACACATATACTCAAGCCCCATATACATACAAACTACAAACATGAAAAATATAAGAAGGAAAAACATTTAATTTTTTTTTTTTTAGTTGCTAAGGTGGGGCTGGAAATAGCTCAGCAGTTCAGGTAAGAACAAGTATTGCTCTTCCAAATGACCTGAGTTTGAGTGGCAGACCCACATCAGGTGGCACAGAAGCATCTACAACTTCAGCTTTAGGGGGATTTGATGCTTCAACCTCCATGGGCACCCACACTGACCTGCACATACACATACAAATAATTAAAAATAAATCTTAAAAAAAAAAATCCTGGGGTTGGAGAGATGGCTCAGTGGTTAAGAGCCCTGGCTGCTCTTGCACAGGACCTGAGTTTGATTCCCAGCTCACATGGCAGCTAACAATCATCCATAACTCCAGTTCCAGGGAAATTCGACACCCTCTTCTGACCTCCATGGGCACTGCATGACATGGGTGCACTTACATACAGGCAGGCAATACACTCAAACACATAAATTAAAAAAAAATTCCTGGGCTGGAGGGATGGCTTATCAGTTAAGAACACTGGTTGTTCTTGCAGAAGACCCGGGTTCAAATCCCAGCACCCACATGGCAGCTAACAACTGTCTGTAACTTCAGTTCCAGGGGATCTGACAGCCCCTTTTGTCTTCCACGGGCATTGCACGACATGGGTGCACTTACCCACACACAGGCAATACACACGTATACAAAAAATAAAAATAATAAATAAAATATTAAAAAAATAAAAATTCCTAAGACCTTGTGTGGTGGTGCATGTCTTTAATACAAGCACATGGGAGGCAAGGCAGGTGGATCTCTGAGTTTAAGGTCAGCCTGGTCAACATATCAAGTTTTAGGCCAGCTAGGGCTACATAGTGTGACGCCATCTCCAAAAAATAGAAAAAAAACGCTTAAAAATTTTTTTGCCAAGTGCAAGGTTCACACTTGAAGTCCCAGTCACTTAAGAGGCTAAAACAGAGAGATGACCTGAGCGCATGATTCCAAGGCTACTGTAAGCAACACATCAAGATCCTACATCAAAACAAGGGGGCTAGAGAGATGGCTCAGTAGTTAAAAGCACTGGCTGCTCTTGCAGAGGACCCAGGTTTGATTCCTAGCATCTACATGGCTACTAAAACCCATCTTTAACTCCAGTTCCAGGGGAACTTGACGCCTTCTTCTAACCTCCTAGAGCATTGTACAACATGAGTGCATTTACATATATGCAGACAATACACTCATAAACATAAAAATTTTTTAAATTTAAAAAATTAAAAACATCCGGGCGTGGTGGCGCACGCCTTTAATCCCAGCACTTGGGACCAGGCAGAGGCAGGCAGATCTCTGTGAGTTCAAGGCCAGCCTGGTCTACATAGTGAGTTCCAGGAAAGCTGGGGCTACAGGGAGACCCTGTCTCAAAAAGACCAAAAAAATTTAAAAAAATAAAAAACTAAAAAAGGGTGTCTACTAAAATAAATAGCAGTTAACTACCATTGAAGGAATGAGTGCACTGTCCATGGCAAGCACTTTACATGTTTTCAATAAGCTAGTACAGACACATTACATATTTTTAATAAGCTAGTCCAGCCGGGCATGGTGGCACACGCCTTTAAACCCAGCACTTGGGAGGCAGAGGCAGGTGGATCTTTGTGAGTTCAAGGCCAGCCTGGTCTAAATAGTGAGTTCCAGGACACCTGGGGCTACAAGGAGACCCTGTCTCAAAATGCCAAAAAAAAAAAAGCTAGTCCAAACACATATACATGTTTTCAGTGAGCTAGTCTCACAGCAACCTTACAAAGCAGCAACTGTGTTTGAAAGACAACATGCTTAAGTTCTCATGCAGCCAAAAGGAAGGGCTTTGAATTATGAATCAAGCTGCTAATTTTAACCCTGTAGCTACAGCTCTCTAAGATTCAAAGTAATTTCTGATAAAAAATTAGCCTGTATGTCAATGTTTGATTCATTTCATCAGTTGCCTATATAGTTTTTAAATTGTATTTATTTTTATTTATTTAAGAGTACCAGCCGGGTGTGCTGGCGCAAGCCTTTAATCCCAGCTCTTGGGTCGAGGCAGAGGCAGGCAGATCTCTGTGAGTTCAAGGCCAGCCTAGTCTACATAGTGAGTTCCAGGACAGCTGGGGCTACAGGGAGACGCTGCCTCAAAAAGACCAAAAAAAAAAAAAAAAAGTAACACATGCATGCAATGCCCACAGAGGCCAGAAGAGGGTGTTGAATCCCATGGAACTGGAGTCCTCTGGAAGAGGAGCCAGTGCTCCTAACTGCTGAACCATCTCTCCAGCCCTGTATGTATAATTTTAAAGATACTAATTTTACAGGAACAATTAGGACAGAAAATCGATTTCAAGCTTAAAAACTTTCAGGCTTTGGCAAGGCTCATATACATCAATTCAATTTGCTGAGCCTTTGATCAATATCCATCATATTCAGAAAATGGAGGATCCCAAATACCAATTTAGATCATACTCACACCAATTATATTTGGATGACTTAGCTCCTGTAATAACTTTATCTCTCTTAAGGCTGTTCTATTGATACCTATGAAAAAAGACAAAACAAAAAGCGAACAATAATTCTGAAACCGCAAACCATTTACAACATCTTTTTTAGTAAGGGTCATTTCAGGAAATAAACATTTCACAAAAAATACGGATAATTTTGATCATTTTTATGAGAAATTTTTTTCCTTTATACTGTTTTAAAGTAGCATAGGCTGGGTATGGTGATGCACACCTTTCTTTAGTCCCAGCACTCGGGAGGCAGAGGCAGGCGGATCTCTGTGAGTTCGAGGCCAGCCTGGTCCACCTAGTGAGTTCCAGGTCAGCCAGAGCTACAGGGAGACCCTGTCTCAAAAAGACCAAAAAAAAAAAAAGAAGAAAGTAGCTTAACACATAGTCCAAGAAAAAAGTATTTACATTATCATATTACCCTATCATATTATGTCATTCTGAAAACCAGTACACAAACTTATGTAGAAATATAACAGAAGGGTGACAACAGGCTCTCGTCTCTTGTCCTACTAATGTTAAGAGGCAGATTATGTGTGCTAAAGAATTATCATTAAGATGTTACTTTTTTCAATACAAATGATAGAATTCAAATTAAACACAGTGCTAGCACTTTCACAGACAATAGATTGTCTTCATAATAACCATTATTTGATGACTAAACAAGACCTAACCTTCTAACCAGGCTTTAGAATAAGAAATCTTTTCCCCATGTGTCCATTCTATAGCGAATTTTGTGTACCTTTATGAAGATGTATCCTTGAATTTTCAAAGTAATTAGAAGCTCAGGAACAGGGAAAAGTGATGACTTATACCACCTAAAATAGTATTGAGACATCAAGACAAGCCAGCTTTGCTGCTTCCATTTACTCACATGATCTAAAGGCTCCTGAGAACCCTTGAATGTGTCTCTCCTGACTCTCTAGACACTGCAATAACTATCAGAATTACTGCTAACTCTGTCCTCATCTCCTCAGGTCACAATGAAAATACTTCTTGTTCTATGAATTATATGAAATACTTACCATCTTTAGCTTCTGATCGGTGTCCGAGTTTGATCTGGGTGAAGAGGGAACACACACATTAACAATGTGTTAAATTAATGCATAATCTATAAACACTTCAAAAACTTAGCTACAAACTGAAATGGTGGCGAATGCCTGTAATCCCAGCACTTAAAAGGCTGAAGCCTGGGCTACATAGCAAGATTCTATCTCAAAACTACAACTGTGCGTGGTAGCACGTCTTTAATTCCAGCACTTAAGAGGGAGACGTAGGTGGATCTCTGTAAGATTGAGGCCAGTCTGGTCTACATCGTAAGTTCCAGGTCAGTGGGGGAACCCTGTCTCAAAAAAAAAACAAACAAAAAAAGCCTTTGCTTATGAAATGACTTTTTTTTTGAGACAGGGTCCCCAGTTGGCCTGGAATTCACTGTGTAAACCAGGCTGGCCTCAATCTCAGAGATCTGCCTGCCCTCTGCCTCCCCAAGTGCTGGGATTAAACATGTGCACCACCATGCCTGGCATTATTAAATGACTTTTAAAACCACAATAATTGAAATAAAATTAAAACAAAAGATTTAAGTCACTTTCAAGAAGGAAACATTCTATCATAAAGACATAGAAACCCAGCACTTGGGAGGTGAAGACAGGAGTTATCAGGTTATTCAACTATACAGTAAGTTTGGGATGAGGTCATAAGACTCTGCCTGAAAAAAAAAGGAAGAGGAAGAAACAGGATGGATTCTAAATCTGGTCAAATGCAGAGAGAATAAGTGTCTGTGAGGCACCCAGCCCTAAATGACACATCTACAAATCTACAATGCAATCTCTATGCCTAAAGATCAGGAAAGACAGTGGAATGGGGGGGGGGTGGTAATATATTACTGCATCTCTGAACTTTCACCAGTGAAGCTTCCTCATGCAACAGATGGCGATTAACCCAGAAAGCCACAATTGGCCAAAGTGCAGAGAATAAGAGACTGCAAAGTGCTTATCCCTGAATAGGACACCTGTATAAAATTGCTGCTACCGAGGCCTCAGAGGGTAGAAAGAATGAAAGAGCCAGAGCTGGTTGTTTCCACAAGGAAACAGTTTTCCAAACAGCAGGGAAGTTACATATATGAACTTACACAGCAATGGTAACAGCATGCAGAAGACCCATGCAAGCTCAAGCCAGAAAAAAATCCCAGAACATAAAGTGAGAAAGTGGGGAAGAAGCCCCAACCTTACTTAAGGAACTATTGGCAACCAGTAACTACTGGGAAGAAAGTTAGTTTTCTTTAAGGGTGTGAAGCTAGACAGGTTAACCAGGCTCCAGTGTATGGACACAAACTGAACGACATTTGGGGACACAAAGTTGACTCAATAGAGTACATGAAATCGGAGGAGGGGTGCTATAAGAAGGGTGCAGATAGGGGAGGGAACCTAAATATGATCAAAATTTAATGCATGAAATTTGCAACAATTCAATTAAAAAGCAAATTTTAAAAAATGTATTTATTTTATTTCTATGAGTGTTATGCCTGTATGTATATAAGTGCACCAGTGTTGTGCAATGTCCAAGGTGGACGGAAGAGGGTGTCAGATGCCCTGGAACCTTAGAATTATGGACTGTTGTAAGTCACCATCTGGGTGTTGGGATTCAAACTTGGTCTTCTGCAAGAGCAGCCAGTGCTCTTAAACTACTGGGCCACCTCTTCAGTTGCATCAATAAAACTTTTTTTTAAAAGCAAGCAACCAACAAATCCACTACTGCAGAACTTAATATGCCAAACATGTGAGATTATGCCTTGTCAGTCAACTTGGGTTTTTGTTTTTGAAATAGCACATGCTATGTTGCCCAGGCTGGTCTGAAGTCCTAGGCTCAGATTATCCTCCTACCTCAGTTTGGGAGGGCACACTTCACTATGTTCAGCTAAGTCAAAGCATTTTAAAAGAATGTTGGAGCTGGAAAGATGGCTCAGTGGTTAAGAGTACTGTCTGCTTTTGCAGAGGACCTGGGTTTGGTTCCCAGGACCCATATGGTGGCTAAAAACTGTCTGTAACTCCAGTTCCAAAGGGTCTGACTCCCTCTTTGATCTCTGTAGGCATTGAATGACACAGGTACACTTACATACATGTACACAATACACTTATACACATAAAATAAAAATAAAATACTTTAAAATATTGTCTACAAATATGCTCACCATAGTCCCAGGCATAATGTAAATGATTTTTGCAGGCAATAAACTCAGATAAGAGGATTTCAGATTCTGATAAATGCCATGAAGTTTATATGGAAAGAACAACTACAAGAACAGGAAAGAAGGTGGCATACCTGTTTTGCTAGAATTAACAGAGAATGCAACCTCTAGATGAAAGAGGCACCTGAGTGAAGCCTGATGAGAAGGATTCAACCATGTCAAGGCCTAGAGAGAAAATACAGCAATGATCCTGAGACTAGGGCAAACTTAACATGCACAAGGACTAGAAAGGTTAAGTGTAGGTAGGATATAGTGAACCAGAAGTAGAACTGAAAAGACATCAAGAGAATTAAGAGGGAGCTAGGGGTACAGGCTCACACCAGCAATATCAGTACTTGAGAAGCTGAATCAAGAGGACTGCCATGAGTCTGAAGTCAGCCTAGGCTAGAGATCCTGTTGCGAGAGAGAGAGAGTGGATTAAGAGGTTTTTGACACTTTATCGTTGCTATTTTTGTTCATTCTTTACAAAACTAGGGCCTCACATGTACCAGGCAAATGCTTTACCAATAAAATATATTGTCCAGGTCTCTTTTTTACTTTTTAAAATATTTTATTTTTAGTGTATGTTTTGTCTGCATGTATGTAAGTGCAACATGTGCGTGTAATGCCCCACAGGTCAGAAGAAGGTACTGGAGTACCCTGGAACTGGAGTTATTGATGGTTGTTAGTCGCCATGTGGGTACTGGGAATCAAACCTAGGTCCTTTGAAACCTAGGTCCTCTGGAAGAACAGAAAGTGTTCTTAACTGCTGAGTCATCTCTCCAGTCCCTTATTTTTATTTTTTTATTGTATTTTTTTTTTTTTTTGGTCTTTTTGAGACAGGGTCTTTCTGTGGTCCCAACTAACCTGGAACTTGCTGTGTAGACCAGGCTGGCCTCAAACTCACAGAGCTCCACCTGCCTCTGCCTCCCAAGTGCTGGGATTGAATGTGTGCACCATGATGCCCAGCATTTAATTTTTTTAAGTATTTTATTATTTTATGTGTATGAGTGTACTGCCTATATGTTGTGCAAGTCTGGAGGCCAGAAGAGGGCATTGGGTCCCCTGGAACTGGAGTTAGACAGCCACCATATAGGTGCTGTCAATCAAACTTGGGTCCTCTGAAAAGCAGTTAGTGCTCTTAACCACTGAGCTATCTCGCCAGCCCCCTTATTTTTATTTGTATGGGTGTTTTGCCTGCATGTATTTAAGTGCACCATGTGTGTGCAATACCCATGGAAGCCAGAAAAGGCTGTCAGATCCCCTCGAACTGGAGTTAAAAATGATTACTAGCCACCATCTGGGTTCTGGAAACCAAACTTCATCTTCTACAAGAGTAACCAGAGCTCTTAATCGCTGAGCCACCTCTCTAGCTCCCTCTTCTTACTTTTTATTTATTTAATATTTTATTATTTTTATTTTATGTGTGTGAGTGTACTGCCTGCATGTTAAGTGCACCTGTGTCATGTAATGCCCTCAGAGGTCAGAAGGTGGTGTTGGATTCCCCTGGGACTGGAGTTACAGATAGTTGTTAGCCACCATGTGGGTGCTGGGAATCGAACCTGGGTCTTCTGCAAGAGCAGTCAGTGCTCTTAACCGCTGAGCCATCTCTCCAGCCCCCATTACATTTTATTTTTAAGACAGGGTCTAACTAAGTTGCTCAGGCTGGCCTCAAACTCACTCTTTAGCCCCAGCAGATATTGAACTCTGTGTGTGTTGTGTGTGTGTGTGTGTTGTGAAGGTGCACAACCTCAAGTTTTTTTGGAGACAGTGACTCTCACTGGAATTCATCAAGTAAACTAGAGCACCTAGCAGAGCATCAGAGATTCTCCTATCTCCACCTTCTCAGCATTGGAAAGTAACTGAACTTTTGAGCCTCTTGTCTCTACAAGCAGATGGATTACAAGGCATGAGCAACAAGGCCTAGCTAAAAGAGTTAAGAGTTTAACAAAGGAGTGAGATATGGTGGTAGACAATAAACCACAAGCTGGAAAACATGAATACTGAGAAGTAAAAAGGTAATATAGGGGTCAGCAAGATGGCTCAGTGGGTGAAGGTGCTTGCTGCCTGACAACCTAAGTTTGATCCCTAGAACCCAGTGGGTGGAAAGAGAACCAACCTCTGTCCTCTGATCTCTCCAAGTGTTGGGGGGGGTGGCAGACACACACACACACACACACACACACACACACACACACACACAAATAAATGCAAAAAGTAAAATTTTGAGTAAAACAAAAATAGTAATGGCAGGAATAACTGAGGAAGACAGCAAGTCAGGTATTAAATGAATGAGGAGCTGGAGACAGCAGTCTGACCATTCATACTCCAAAGGAGTTCTTTTTTAAAGTTTAATTTTTATTTTATGTGTATGGGTGTATTGCCTGCATGTAAGTACACCAACCCACAGAGGTCAGAAGGCGTCAGATTCCCCTGGAACTGGAGTTACATACAGTTGTTAGCTGCCATGTGGATGCTGGGATTCAAACCCGGATCCTTGCAAGAGCAGTCAGTGCTCTTAACCACTGACCTATCTCTCCAACCCCCAAAGGGAGCTCTTAAAAGAGGAGATTCATAGTAGTCAAGGAACACAAAACATGGAGGTCAGCTACTCCACCAACAGACCCTGAGTTATGTGAGGAAAAACAGCATCTTCTGGAGATGGTTGTAGATTTCAGTAGTGTGAGAAAGAGGACAGTTGCATGCTAATCCTGGCTTCAGCAATTACTAGCTCTGTCATCTTGACAGGTCAGGTAACTAGCCTCTCCCCCAGCCTCAGGATTCTCAATGTGAAACAGGGACACCTTTACCTACTTCACAGACTGTGTGAAAGGTTAAGTGAAAAAATGTAGGTCATAGCATGTGCACACAGAAAACTATGCCTGAAGCATTTTAAATGAATTTAAGTTTAAAAACTACTTAAATAATTTTAGAAAATGCACTGTATCGGTGTTGTTAATGCTGGTGAAAACCTTTAATAGTGCATCTGTACACAGGTAACATCATGACAGCATGTGACCTGGAAAGGGTGTATCAAATAGCTCTAAGGATAGTACCTGGCTTTTCCTTAGCCAACATCCAACTTTATGGAGGAAAAGTAACAGAGCTCTTCATTTTAATTTGCTTGAAAAAAAAAGCAGTTCAGCCCCAGAAATCCCTCTTGAAACATGAACTAATAAATGCTACTGTCTCTGGAAATATTCTAACTCCACTGTAAGAGTGTGATCAAGAGTAGAAAACAAGGCCAAGTGTGGCTGAGTCAGGAGGATTTCTACTCCTCGGAGATCAACCTGAGCTACATAACAAGACACTATCTCAAACACACAGAAACTCTGGCTATCAATCAACTCGTAATACGCAGATATTTTCTAGATGTGTCAAGTGCGGAGGCACATGCCTGTACATCCAGCACCCCGAAGCAGAAGCTGAAGGATAGAGGCAAGTGGCGTCTGAATGCTGAGTTCCACGTTAGTAAGGTCTACGTGGCAAGCGAGACACAAAGACTCGGGGGCAAATGCGTAAGAAGGCAACTCACTTTCTTAATGGCGACAATCTGGTTGGTGTTCTTATCTCTGGCCTTATAAACCGTAGCAAACTACAAGGAAAAACAGGAGTAACAAGCCCATGAGGTCTTTCTGTGGTGCTGTTTGTGGATTATTCTCCCCCACCCCCTTTTTTTGCACACAGAATCCTGAACCGTGAGAAGACAGCCGGTACTTCGGGATGGAGGCGTCTCAGGTCGGCTCCAGGAGCACGGGAAGAGGGTCCCAGGGGCCCCGGGGAGAACGGGCAGCGGCAGGACAGACTAGGGAGGACCCCAGGGGCCCAGTGCGAACCGCAGCCGCAGCGGCCCTGCCGACACTCCGCGGCGCTGCGGCCTTCGCGAAGCCGGCCCTCACCTGTCCCTCCCCGAGGAAGTCCAGCTTCTCATAGCGCTTCGCTCGAGACTTCACGTCCACAGCCATTCGGACCGCGAAGCTCGACCGCAGCAGAAAGCTGAGCGCTTCACAACGCAGGAATTTAAAGCGTCCGAAAGCTTCCAACAGCTACTTCCGCTCACTGGACGCCCTCCTCCTCCTAGCTCCGCCCATGCTTCCGGGATGGGCGGGGTCTTCCCCTCGCCCGCCACGTGTGGCTTGTGGATACCGGAAGCTGAGCGTTCCAGACTGCTGTGCTA